AAAGGAAAGAAACCTAAAAGAAAAGAAAAGGGAAAAAAAAAAAGTTTTATTTATGTATTTATTTATTTGTTTTGTTTGGGAGGGGGTTTTTTAAGCCTATTTATTTGGGGAGGGACTTTTCTTGTCAGTGGCTCCAGCCAAGAGACATCTTAGTAAAATGTATCTGTTTAATATATTTTTTAAAAAATGCCTTTTTTGAGCAAAAGAGCAACCAAAAACAACTGGGAGGAAAAAAGAAAAAGAAAAGAACAGCTACTGTCATCTCTGGCCCTGGCTTTTCCCTTGCTGGGTGGCAGGAGGGGATGACAAGGAGGCTCCTGCACGTGCTCAGCCACCGTGTCCCCGCACCAGCTGGATTTTAGCTGAGCCTCCCGAGGAGGGGAGATGCCAGCAGGAGTGGGCTGGCCATCTGTCTCCTGCCCAGGTCTTCATTAACTCGGGGGTATGGCTCATTAGGACCATTAGATGTGCCTGGAGACAGGGAGGGATCCCAGGGAGGTGCCTGGAGCAGATGCTCCCCGAGCTGGTGGGAAGGACCGGTGTCGACCCAGCCACATCTCCTGTCCAACCTCCTCCCGGTCCCAGGCGAACACCCACCACGGCCCAGGGTGAGCAGTGCCGCGACTTGGTCACCCGCTGCGGCATGTACCACCTCTTTGGGCATGTCAAGTGTGGCCCTTGGGAGCTTCGCTGGACGACCCTTAGCTCTGATACCGAGAGAGGCAGGGGAAAACTGACCCCAGCCACCCTTTCTGGCCAGCTGCAATTGCACAGACAGGTATGGCAGTCACCGCTGTGTCCTAGCTCCACTGCTTGGTCCATATATGTAGGTTGCTGCATACTTCTGGTATCCTCGTTCACAGAATCACAGAATCATTAAGGTTGGAAAACACCTCTAAGATCATGAAGTCCAGCTGTCAACCCATCACCACCGTGCTTGTTAAACCATGTCCTGAAGTGCCACATATACATGTTTTTTGAACCCCTCCAGAGATGGTGACTCCACCACTGCCCTGGGCAGCCTGCTCCAATGATTCATAACTCTTTCAGTACAGAAATTTTTTCTAATATCTGATCTAAACCTCCCCTAACACAACTTGAGGCCATTGCTTCTCGTTCTATGGCTAGTTACCTGGGAGAAAAGACCAACACCCGCCTCACTACACCCTCCTTTCAGGTGGTTGTAGAGAGCGAGAAGGTCCCCCCTCAGCCTCCTCTTCTCCAGACTAAACAGCCCCAGCTCCCTCATCAGACTTGTTCTCCAGACCCTTTACCAGCATCATTGCCCTTCTCTGGACACGCTCCAGCCCCTCAATGTCCTTCTTGTAGTGAGGGGCCCAAAATTGAACACAGTACTCAAGGTGTGGCCTCACCAGTGCCAAGTACAGGGCACTTGACCTCCTCAAAGCCTTCTCATTCATCACCCCCTTAGATAACGGCCCTCAAACCAAGCACAACTCATCCTGGACACCTCCCCATGCTGCACCCGCTGCAGGCATCCAGTGGGTTTCCCCCAGCAGCCCCACAGCCGGGAGCATCTCCGATGACTGCTCAGCCCAGCCCAGCGAGCAGGGCTG